TGATCATCATAGTCAACGCGTTTAAAAGAAATCTGGTCAGTCTGTGCACATAAAGTTCACAGGAGATTTTTGTCTTAGGGAAAGTTGAATTCAACAAGGACACAGTGGATTGCGGAGAGCAACAGTTTCTTATCATCTCACAGCATGGAGACAAGAGTCCACACAAAGAGAACCAGGTAGGCCACGTCTGGGAACTCCTGGCTGTCCTAACCCCATCTTTGGTGCTTCAGGATCCCAGCTTTGTTAGATTACCTTATTAGAGTTAGAGAGCTTTACCCCACATCCTCTCCAGCATAAGTTGTCATCAGTGTTTTTGATCTTGGCCATTCTTTGACAGGTGTAAGATGGGATCTCACAGTTTTTTGATTTGCATTTCTCTGATGTCTAAGGATGTTGAGTACTTCTTTAAGTGTCTTTCAGCCATTTTAGATTCTTCTGTTGACAGTTCTCTGTTTAGGTCTGTATTCTATTTTTTTTATTGGATTATTTGTTCTTTTGATGACCAATTTCTTGAGTTCTTTGTATAGTTTGGAGATCAGCCCTTTATCTGTCCTAGGGTCAATGAAGATCTTCTCCCATTCTGTCTTATTGACTGTGTCCTTTGCTTTACAGAAGCTTCTCAGTTTCAGGAGGTCCCGTTTATTTTTGTTTTTCTCAGTGTCTGTGCTACTGGGGTTAAATTTAAAAAGCGGTGTCCTGTGCCAATGTATTTAAGTGTACTTCCCACTTACTTTTCTATGAGGTTCAGTGTGATTGGTTTTATGTTTAGGTCTTTGATCCATTTGGACTAGAGTTTTGTGCATGGCAATAGATAAGGGCCTATTTTCATTCTTCTACATGTTGATATCCAGTTATGCTAGCACCATTTGTTGAATATGCTTTTTTCCCCATTGTATATTTTTTGCTTCTTTGTCAAAAATCAGGCTTTTATAGGTGTGTGGACTAATATCTGGGTCTTTGATTCAGTTCCATTGGTCCTCCTGTCTGTTTTTATGCCAATACCAGGCTGTTTTCAGTACTGTAGTTTTGTAGCAGAGTTTGGAGTCAGGGATTGTGATGCCTCCAGAAGTTCCTTAATTGTACAGGATTGTTTTGGCTATCCTGGGCTTTTTGCTTTTCCTTATGAAGTTGAGTATTTTTCTTTTGAGGTCTATGAAGAATTTTGCTGGGATTTTGATGGGCATTGCATTGAATCTCTAGATTGTTTTTGGTAATACTGCCATTTTTACTGTGTTAGTTCTACCTACCCAAGTCCATTTGAATCATAACACCAGTTAGTTTCCTTATTTCTGTTAAGTTTCTTTCTGGCAGACCTGTCCAGTGGTGAGAGTGGGGTGTTGAAGTCTCCCACTATGAGTGTGTGGGGGTTTAATGTGTGATTTAAGTTTTGGTAGTGTTTCTTTTACATATGAGGGTGCCTTTGTATTTGGGGCACAGACATTCAGTATTGAGATTTCCTCTTGATGGATTTTTCCTGTGACTAATATGAAACGTCCTTCTTTGTCTCTTTTGATTAATTTTAGTTTGAAGCCTATTTTGTTAGATAATAGCATAGCTACTCCAGCTTGTTTCTTAGGTCCATTTGATTGGAATTTTTTTCCAACCCTTTACTCTGAGGTGATGTCTGTCTTTGAGGTTGAGGTGTTCAACAGAAGGATAGATTCTGTTTTTATATCCAATCTATTAGCTTCTGTCTTTTTATAGGTGAATTGAATTCTTTTATATTAAAGAATATTAATGACCAGTGATTGCTAGTTCCCGTTATTTTAGTTTTCATTGTTGGTGATGTTATTGTGTGTGTTTTTCCTTTCTTTGGGGTTTGCTGCTGTGAGATCATCTATTGTCTGTGTTTTTGTGGATGTAGTCAACTTGCTTGGGTTGGAGTTTTTCTTCTAGTATTTTGTGTAGGGCTGGGTTTGTGGCTAGGTATTGATTAAATTTGGTTCTGCCATGGAATATCTCATTTTGTCCGTCTATGGTGATTGAAAGTTTTGCTGTCTACTAGTCTGGCCTGGCATCCATGGTCTCTTAATGTCTGCATAGCACTTGACCAGGATATTCTGACTTTAATTGTTTCCATTGAGAAGTCAGGTATACTTCTGATAGGTCTGCATTTATATGCTACTTGATCTTTATACTTTGCCACTCTTAATATTCTTTCTTTATTCTGTATGTTCAGTGTTTTGATTATTATGTGGCGAAGGAACTATTTTTTCCAATCTATTTGATATTCTGTAAGCTTCTTGTATCTTCATATGCATATCTTTCTTTAGGTTGGGAAAGTTTTCTTCTATGATTTTGTTGAATATATTTTTGTACCTTTGAGTTGGAGTTCTCCTTTTTCTATCCCTTCTATTCTTAGGTTTGGTCTTTTTATGGTGTCCCATATTTCCTGGGTATTTTATGTTAAGCTTTTGTTAGATTTAATATTTCCTTGATATTCTCTCTCCCATCTCCTTTATTCTGGTGTTTATGCTTGCATTTGTGGTTCCTGATCATTTTCACACATTTTTCCACTTCTAGAATTCAGTCTGTGTTTTCTTTATTGTCCATATTTCAGTTTTTAAGTCTTGAATCATTTCTTCCATATGTTTGATTGCTTTTTCTTGGTTTTCTTCCGTTTTATTTTTTGTTTGTCTTTTCCTTCATTTCTTTGAAAAAAGTTTCATTTCCTCTTTAAGGGCCTCAAACATTCTCCTAAAGTTATTGTTTAAGTCATTTTATTCTACTTCATCTATATTGGGGTGTTCAAGTCTTGCTGTTGTAGGGCCACCAGTTTTTGTTGGTGTTGTGCTGCCCTGTGTGGTGTTGAGTGTGTTCTTACCTTGTCTACCCATCTTTTCCGCTCATTGGTGTGGCTGGGGCTGTGTCTCTGGTGATCAGTCTTCCAGGTGCCAGTGTGTCCAAGGCTTAGATGGTTGCTCCTCGTGGTGCAGTCAGGGCTATGGTTCCAGTTACCCTGGAGGTCATTCAGGGTTCAAGAGGTTGCTCAGCATTTCCGGGCGTCATTCTGCAGTCCCAGAGGTTGTTCGGACCTGCTCCCACAGAGATTGCTTGCTTGTGCTTGCTCCTGCGGAGGTCGCTGACTCAGACCTGGTCCAGCGTAAGTGGCCGATTGGGGCCGACTCTGGAGGAGGTCGCCTGCTTGGACCTGCTCTGGTAGAGGTCGCTGGCCTGGGCCTGTTCCCGCAGATGTCCTGGCTCCGGCCTGGGTTCCCACGCCTGGATATCATAAAGCCGACAGGAAACTGATAACTAAAAAGGAGTTTCCAGCTCTGAGGTGTAGCAGGACCAATTGCCCCAAACCATGATGAAGTAACTGGTAGTGAGCTCCCAGCACTTTGGGGGTCTACTCCTCCTGCATTTTTTTTTCTTTAAAAAGTGTATTTATCCCAAAGAAACTGTCACTCATGACCATGTATTAAGTATCTCACTTTCCTCATGATCTCAGTTGTTTTATTATAAAGTGAAAAGTCCCCTATGAGAACAGGGTATCTAGAAAGATCTCAGTTCATCATTTTTTAAAACTGTTTATCAAGACCAAATGTCAAAACATAA